GCTTCTATGGTCCTAAGGGAAATTTTCCGGGCAAGGCAGAAAATTCTCTTCCTGGACTTACAATATGTAGAAATATTTAACACGATGGTTTCTGTAACTCTCATGTCTGATTCTAAGATCTCACTCGCTTTTCTTGAATTTCGCTGAAGAATTTCGACTTGCATTTGCATCAAAATTTTCTGCCTTACCTAAAAAATCTGACTTGTACAGAGACCACCTCTCCAGTCACAGCAGAATATGCCACCACCGCCTGCACAAGTACAGACTTCAAGTTCAGCTTCTTTTTCAAGCCTTCAAAGTTTACAGGGATCATACATTCAACCCGGACAAATGCAGGCCCCTCAGCAGTTGCCTGGACAGAACAGTCAATTCTCTGTTCCCCTGACCCAAGGGCAGCGTAATGCACCAGCTGCACCTGGACAGGTACATGTCCAGGTGAACCAACAATTGCCAACCACCCAGCAGCTCGAGTCTCCATCACATTTGGCCCAGATGCTGTCACAACAGAAGCATAATCTGCAAGCGACGTTTCAATCATCACAACAAGCCTTCAACCAGCTACAACATCAGGTGCAGCAACTACAGCCGGCAAACCAGAATACAGCGGCTCATCAGGTATCGATCGTTTTTTGAGCATGAGATCAGCAGGAACTGTTCTTTATGTGATAGTTTGTGTTAGTACAACTTATTGGCATGACTATCTATTTCAGTGTTCCCTATAGTATAGAATTTGCCCTCTCAAGCTCATAATGTTCGTTATCTTAATTTACTTTACAATTTCTGTGGGCTTAATTTTGACATGAGTCAGTGTTTTTGTGATAAATATTTTGTTGCCCTATCTTCCTACATTAATTGGTTGTGAAAGTTTTAACTGGATTGCGTCGTGTTCCCATTAATTTTCTTTATTCTGGCTGATAGAGATGGAAATACAAAGCAAATATACTGTAGAAATATTTGGTGATTGATTTTTGGGATGCTGATTGATTGATTCCAGTAAATGAGAATGATTTGCTTCCCCTTTTTTTATTTCTTGTTACCATTTATAATTGCAGTAGTTTTATATATAGGTTCTCAGTAGGATAACTATGAGATGTATTTTGTAGTAGCTTAGGATGTTGTATCCCTATCAACCATTTGGTGTAATAACTCTCTCTCTCTCTCTCTTTTTCTCTGTCCCTAGACTCCTTGGTCTGGTACTTTGCCCCAGCCAGTTGCAAACGCCTCAGTTTTCCAGCCAGCTGGAAATGTAACTGCAACCACACCTGCCATGGCTACTAACCAAGACATCCCTACAGTTAGTTGTAACTGGACAGAGCACACATCTCCTGATGGTTTCAAGTACTACTATAACAGCCTGACTGGTGAAAGCAAGGTAATCTTGTGTTATCTGTACAGTCACTACATAACGTCTTATTTCACCAAAAGCCAAAAGGAGGGTATGCATGTTTCTTACCGACCAGTTATTTGCAGTGGGAAAAACCTGAAGAGCTGACACTATATGAGCAGCAGCAGCAACAGAAGCCACCTATCCAACATCATCAAGTACAGGCTTCTCAAATGCAAGTACAGCTTCAAGGTCAATACGGGCAGCTTCAAAACCAGCCCAAGCCATTACAGCAAGCTACTCGAACCTTGGTTAGTTTTTGTGTCTACGTAATTTATCTTTGATTCTTGTTTTATTTCTGTTAGAGGTTAACTAATTGATTTTTCCCAGCACCAGGTTACTGGGTTTTCGGCCACTCTGGACAGTAAGGTACATGTTACCAAATATCTGGTGATCTTTTTCTGGTTGTTTGTCTGTTTATTAACTCAACCATTGGCATGGATGTTCCTGTTTGTTGTGTGTGTTTTAAATTTATTCAGATTTCAATAGATACATCTTGTTTAGGTGCTCATGAATGAATGATTCACATGTAACTTATTGATGATTGTTGTTGACTTTGATGCCTAATTTGTTGCAACTAAACCTACTGATTCATTACTTTGGACTTTTATGGAAGAATCAGGAACATGGGTATGGTCAAATACCTGCAGAGACCGGTCAAGTAACCAACCCCACACGAAACCAACAGGTTAGAATTGTGAAGGTCATTTTCTTTGATCATAATTGATTTTTTGATTTTGGTGTATAGTGATTTGTTTCATGTGGCGCAGGGTGTTCAGGCTTCGCAGGAATGGATGTGGAAGAATAAAAATTGAGGTTTCTGCTTTTGTGCTGCTCAGTAAAAACAGATAAAATTAGAATTTTTGCAAGGATATTATTATTGCCCCTTAATTTAAGGAATAATTTCAAAAGATGTGCCTTGAGGTTGGAATTTTATCTTAGTTACACAAGTCTCTTATCTGTCAAAATTACAAATATCACCTCAGTATTACCTGCTACAGAGAAATCAAATGTAAAGAGTATATATG